ACGAAAAGAAGGTAAGTATAATCAGAATCCATTCTGGGAATCGAACATTAGTATTAATTAGACACGTTGTTACATGTACAGTTTACTATTGGTCCGGTACGGTTCCATGTAACGGATCCTTTGTTTGACCCGTCTCTGGTTGGAAAACAGGAAATTCTGTCGCTATCCGATGCCATACATCTCGCAATTACTAGTTGTGAACCAGATAGGAGACAGCTTCTTTTTGAGAACATTGTAGTTACAGGAGGAATCAGTTTAATAAAAGGTAAGCAGAATAGCACCTTTTACATTCGTGCTCAAACACTAGATTAATATAACTTTTAATGGGGATTATAAGGATTGAAGGAACGTATACTGAAAGAACTTCATCGCTTCCTATCCATTACGGAAAATGCTGGAGAATTTCAGACAAGAGAGTGTAAATGTCTCAAGATTCCCGAATATTTTACAGCTTATAAAGATAGACCGGATCTCGCAGGGTTTCTAGGGGCAGCTATTGTAGCGAAGGTATGGTAGCGTTTTATAATTACAAACGGCTTAACGCATTAATAATGCTAATACGTCAATTTTTTTGTAGCTTGTTTTTCCCGAACCCAAAAACTTTATTACAAAAATAGACTACAATGAGAATGGGCCGTCAGTCGTTCATGTCAAAAGTTATTAAACTTACAATCGATAGTCATATGAGCTCGCTTAGAGATTTTGAGTGAATTGAGGGATTTTCTAAATAAATAAAATCTATTTGGCCCAATGTCTTTAGACGTCTATGGTGCACATCTCTCAGTAAAGCGTGGGTACAGACAACAGTCCCTGACCGTCTTTCTGTCCAAGAGCCATGCTAAAAAGCGTTCTAATCCTAAACCAAAACCGCCGTGCTCACAAGTTCCAAACTTGCGCTGATCCGTGTACCAATAATATGGAGTTGGTTCAATTCCTGCATGAAAGAAATGGTTGATTTAGAAATGCCAGAAAAAGATCGAAATAACACAACTTGCATAAATATCATATTAGAATTGAGGGACCTTCTCGCTTATAGCCCTCCAACAGTTCTCCCTGTAGATTTGTTGTAAGCAAACAACATGTCAGCCCAGCATTTATGCGAACACGCATTCTGTACACAAACAAATTCTCTTACCAAATCCGTGATTCTCATGCTCGCGCCGACTATTTCACCGACAGTTGGCATCAATAGATCAACACTCTCTGTAACGCGACGATCGTCAGCACATTTCTTCATGTAAAATGCCTTTATCTCAGCGGGGAATCGACACAAGAACACGGGCTTTCCAATTCTATCAATCATTGCTCGTTCAGGTGCTTCCGGAATATCTTCTCCGAATTCATAGAAAGTTCCATCGTCTTTTGTAATATTATGGTCTTTGAGATACTGAATTGCATCCTTGTAGTCGAGTCTCATGAACGGGCGTTCCAGCTTTTTAAAGCCCGGATTAAGTTGATATACAAGTTTGCTGATTTTTGGGTCAGCCAAGGTTCGATCAACGACATCGCATACCATGTCTTCTACTGTTTCGAGTAGATCATCAAATGTAATGAAACCCATTTCAGCTTCTACATGAGTGTATCTACAAAGTAACGAAGCAATGAGATCGGGACTAGTATCATAAAATGGGGACTTTATCATCAATCACATAATCAGTAACCTACTCTGACAAATGTCTTCGTGTATGAGATTTCTCTGCACGGAATGACTCGGAAATAGTATACACGTCTCCAAGTGACGGAAGACAAGTTTCCAGGTATAGTTGTGCAGTTTGTGTAAGGTATACCTGTGAAGGATAAATGTGTAAGCACGGTGTATACTGTAAGTGCAATGGCCTTCTGAGTATCACTATCGACACAAACCATTTCACCGTAATATTGTAGCGCAAACAATGTGCTTCCGCCCTCTACTTGTGTTTGCACCATGGAAGGTGGGGTAATCTCGGTAAAACCTTTGGAAGCGAAATGATCACGAAACGATTTCAGCACTGACGAACGAACTTTCAGAGTGGCAGACGCGTTTTCCCCACGAATAACCAAATGCCGAAGATCGTACAAGACTGAAGGATCAGCTTCCGAGTTTAGCTGGTTAGTGAACGCGTCATCTCCACCAGGAGCCTTATGAATCACTTCCCAATAGTCTACCCGAAGCTCATGATTATCGGGTGCCTAAGAAATAGAGACTTTTTTGTAAGAGAATAGAAAATGCGTCGACAAATATTAAATCCACATCGAGTAACTCTTCATACCGTTTTTCCTTCGGGTAACTCGGAGATTATACCATACACTGTGATTGTAGATTCTAAAGTCAACGTCAAGGAATCATAAGAATGACACTGAATCAATCAGAAAAGAATAAATTAATAATGTATGAGCAATCCGCATCAAACCAATAAGTCCCATAACATACCAGTCTGCCAAATAGAAAGCATTGCAGATATCCAGTTCCGTCTCGAAGAACAATAAATTTCATATCCTTTCCTTGCGTTCGCTGGCGATGAACCCAACCAGAAACCTTAACTCTATGATCGCGGTTTTCAATAGCTTGGCTAATTTTAATCTACATGATGGAACAAGGATATAGTTGTATAAGCAAAATTTATACAGAGGATTTATCGATGCTGGTCATTTAGGAATTACGCCCACCTTTTTCGCGGGGGGAAGCGAGGGATCTTCTTTGAGAACGATGCTCTTTGCTTCTTCTATTTTCCTTAATTCCTCTTCTTGTTTCAATCGTTCTTTCTCGGCTTTTGCTGCATTTTGTTCTTCTATTTTTTTTTGCTTTCGTGCAATATCCTCGACGCGTTTTTTTGCCTTCTTTAGGGCAGTATCGCTAATTGGCTTAAATTCATTCTCCTCGGGTTTCCAGACAAAAACTTTAACATTGCTGCCATGTCCTTGTATGGCCGCGACAGCTGTTTTATAGGGATTTCCCTTTGTTCCGGTGCCAGTCTCGTCAGAACCGGTGGTTTCGTTGATAAAGGCTGTTGTATCAAGTACGAAGAAGAAAAAAAAAAAAAAGAGGAAAACGATCTCTTTAAATCATATCGGTACTTTTTTTTTATGTACCAAGAGACGTCCATAAGTTAAACTTACCAACAGTTTCCTTGACGTCCATGTCGATTGTTGAACTCTCGAGAAAAAGCTTCCGTTATTATATCGTGTCAGTAGGATTGGGGCACAGCAATGACAGTTACTATGATTGGCAATAAATACATGACTCATATTGATAAGACCGTAACAAAAAAAGGAATCACAAAATTTTTTGTGGGGCGTCACAGCCCAGACGTTAAACAAAAATTTGGGGTCGCCCATCGACTCCCCGGAACTTGCGTTCAACTAGGCTCTTGCGGACGGTCATCAGTATCTTGACCTTTGTTAGTTGCTTCTGAACTGATGTTGATGGTTTCACTTTTATCAATAACGCTAGGGATTGTAAGTTATTGCATTATATTTTCTTATTTTTGTCGGGAGAGTAGACTGCCAAATGATCTGAAGGCGGCTCGCTGAGAGGGAGAGAGTGCGAGAGTTGTGGGGGAGGGGGGGGGGCCAAGATCTATAACAAGATCATCAGCTTTGGAAACGCGCTTGGTTCACGTTATTAAGCTTCGCAACAACCAAATCTTGGCCTAGCACTTCTTCTACTTTATTTTGTTGCTTGCTTTTTTGTTTTGTTCCCTCCAGCTAAGACAATACCAGATAGCACAAAAATATTTTTTTTTTCGTGACTACTTGTATGGTTCTTAACAATAACACAACAATTCTTTCGTTTCGTTTGTTGTTTCTAACCTAACTTCTTTTTTTCTTTATATCCTTTGAAACATTACTATTTGACCTTTTGCGTTGGCCACAATTTGATTTGAAGAATTTGTGAACATAAAAGTTAGTTCACCTTTACCAACAAAATTTAATTCTTCCACGAGTCTTTTTTATCA